CATCGGCAGAATCATAGGTAGCTCGAGCCAGAAGAGGCACCTGAGATGGCGACCGAAACTACAACTCCAAGGGCAAGCACGGGACATCGGTGTTGTGCAATATCGGAACCACTACTACAAGAAGATAACGAAAGGAAAACTAGAGGATCTCACTATAATTCAACACTGGCGGTGAATGCCCAACACTCACTTGTAGAACAATTTTGCCGAGATCCACGCCAGCCGCCGAGGCGTTTAGGATGGTTTGCTTGGCAAATGCGTCCGTGTTGAACGCGGCCGTATCGTTTTTGTCATCATATCGTGGCCATAATGAAACGAAGGTGGTATCGGCGATCCCTCCCAATTTGGCCTTCGCGAACACATCTAACTTCTCAGGCGTCAACCTGACAACCCAACGGTGGCTGGTGGTTCCAATCGGTCCACTACACACGCGAGAGTCTACTGGTAGTTTTATATGCACCGTAAGACTCACCGGATTGAAGAAATCAACTTCAGTTCATTGATAGCCTCCAAGGCCTCCTTCACATGTTGGGGGGTCTGATCAGAATAGGGGAGGAAATCCGCTATCCTGAAGCCGTCGACGGGGAAGTACTCCACGAACTTGGCAGCATTCTGGCGAAAGCGCGTCTTGTTGAAAGGCTCGCCATACCCGTATTGCGCATCGATCACGTCACCCAGTATCCTGCCACCTCGAGCTCGTACTTTCTCCCTCAGAGCCATGAACCCAGATTTACTCCATCGGCTCGGTGATTTGAACTCGATGACGAACCAGATGTCACTCCCCACCATCATGAGGCCGCCGAGCACGAAATTCTTGACGCCCTTATTGAGGAGGCAATCGAGGTAATCGTCCCAGGTGTAGTTGGGGTTTCGAGGGCATAGTGTTTGGTTGGAGCATATGGGAGCCTCCTTGTCAACCCAGGGGTAGGTCATTTCTTTGTAAAACTCCAGATGGTTGGCCGAGGTGGTTGGACGCATAAAAGAAGCCGACACGACGGTGGGCAAGCAGAGGTAGGCGTAAATCCACATAGCGCACACTGGAGGGAGAACAACTGTCGACTTAGCAGTGTTAGTGGGAGCCAAGTTTTAAATGCGACTGATACAGTGAGACAGACGAGTCGTAGTGTGGATCTCACACTGTGGAAACTGATGTGAGTCCTACGACTCATAAAAGATGAGGCACAGACTTTCCGAGTTGGAAAGTCCAA